ACAGCCCCCGTCACAGCCCCCACCACAGCCCCCGCCACAGCCCCTGCCACAGCCCCGGCCACAGGCCCCGTCATAGCTGCCGGACAGCCCTAGTCACAGCCCCTGCCACAGCCCCCACCACAGCCCCCGCCACAGCCCCTGCCACAGGACTGGTCATTGCCCAGTCATGGCTGCTGGCTCATCCCTAGTCCCAGCGCCCAGCTAGCTGACCTGTGGGGCTGGCTCAGCCCTGGCCCGGAACCTTTTTTCTGCAAATGACATGGTATACATAGAGCTTTCTAGCTAACTGGTCTGTCGGGGGCGGGGGGGGGGGCTTCACCCTCACCCCAGCTAGGGTGACTGGGGACCCTGAGACTTACCGGCCGGGCCGTCTCCCGCAGGTACTGGGCGCAGTCCTGGTGTCCGTGGTACTCCGCCAGGTCTGCCGCCGTGTAGCCATCCTCATCCCGCAGGGAGGGGTCCACGTGGTGGGAGACCAGGGTCTGGCAGCACTGCCGGGAGGGGCACATGTGACCCACGGCACACAAGCCGATCCCACAGTACCCACCAGGCGCCATGGAGGGCTGGCACCACACCCCCCGCTCCAGGTGGGACACCGAGGCTGCCAACATCTGAGGAACCTGCCTGAGAATCCCAGCATTCTCTGCACGCACAGCCGCCCTGCCTGGCACCAAGCCCTGCAGGTACCAGCACCCCATCCTGGATGGGAACCCAGGTACCGAGGTAAGGAACTCGCTGAGGGCTCAGGTGGTAAGAAGGCGGCATGGCTGGGGTCCTCCCCGCTCGGAGCCTGACCCCGACCTTGCCCCTTGCCCTTGTAGCCCATGTCCTGGGCTATAACTACAGAACCAGTTTCCATTTTTACAGCAACGCTCAGAGGGGTGTGCCACGTTTCCATGAAGGAGCTGGGACCCAGAGGGACTTGTGACAGACCAAAGTCTGGACATTTGTGAGGTGGCTGTGCCAGCAGCAAAAACAGGGGGGCAGAAGGACCCAGATCAGGGAGGAGAGAAGCAGGTGGGTCAGACCCATCCACTCCCCAGTAATGCAGAAAATGGAAGAGCCACGAAAGTCACCTTCCTGAAGCAGAGAAGAGGCAACAAGCAAGCGAGGAACCACCAGGCCAAGAGAGAAGACAGGAGTCGAGGGATAAGCCCGGCACTCAGCGCGCTGATGCAGGAGAAAGTCACGACCTGGCGGTCCTTGCAGCCTCCTGGGAGGAGGGAGACCAGCAAACACCAGGGCCTGCGAAGGTGGGCTCTGCCTCACCACCTGCCGCTGCGGGCTGAGGGCGCCCCTCGGAGGAGAGTAAACCAGAGCCAGCCCGCGCTCCCCATCACGCAGGGGCTCCAGGCAGCCTCCCGCCTGGAACGCGGACTCAGATGATTCTGGGCTCGCAAGTCACACATATGCTGACAGGCAGAGGCAATCAAGACAACATCCCGGGCCTCAAATGACTCCTGCAAATCATTTCTCAAATATAATGTGCATCGTACAGTCCACAAGACCAGGAGCAGCAGAAAGGAGACCAGAACACCAACAAACAGACCTGCAGAAACAGACTGACCAACTGCGAAGCAACCGGGCTACGACTTTCAGAGAAATAAAGACCAAGCTGCAAAGCACAGGCATGGAATGATAAACCATAAAAACGGACACATGTAGATTTGAAAAATGACTAATTCAAGGTGGAGACCATCCTAAATAATAAAAGGCTAGCCCTGGCCGGTTTGGCTCAGTGGATAGAGCGTCGGCCTGTGGACTGAAGGGTCCCAGGTTCGATTCCGGTCAAGGGCATGTACCTTGGCTGCGGGCACATCCCCGGTGGGAGGTGTGCAGGAGGCAGCTGATCGATGTTTCTCTCTCATCGATGTTTCTAACTCTCTATCCCTCTCCCTTCCTCTCTGTAAAAAATCAATAAAATTAATTTAAAAAATAAATAAATAAAATAAAAGGCTAATATGCAAATTGTCCCTTGGAACAGTTTGACAGGGAGTTCGACCAGGGGGCAGGGCCTGCTGGCTAACCTACCGCATCCCTCCCCCGAGCCAGCCTGGCCCGATCCACCGTGATCGGGTGGGCAGACCCTACCCATGCACGAATTCGTGCACCAGGCCTCTAGTAAAAATAATAACCAAGTTAAAGACTGAAGCTGAAGACCTGGTAAACAGGAAATGGGCCTGAAGAAGCAATCCAGAATATTGCACGGCCAGACAGAAAGATGAAGACAGAAATCCAGCAGCTACAGCCAGGACGAAAATGCAGAATGAGAGATGACAGAGTGGATGCAGAGGGCGTGTCTGGAGAGGGAACAGCTGAGAACTTGACAGACAGATGGAAACACCAAGCACAACTCGAGAAGTCCAACCAGTCCCGAGTAGGAGCCGTCCACCCTGGTCCTATCACAGCAAAACAGCTGAAGACCAGACGCAATGGGCATCTTAAAAGCAGCCAGAGGGGCCCTAACCAGTTTGGCTCAGTGGCTAGAGCGTCGGTCTGCGGACTGAAAGGTCCCAGGTTCGATTCCAGTCAAGGGCATGTACCTCGGTTGTGGGCACATCCCCAGAAGGGGGTGTGCAGGAGGCAGCTGATCGATGTTTCTCTCTCATCATCGATGTTTCTAACTCTCTATCCTTCTCCCTTCCTCTCTGAAATCAATAAAGATATATTTTTTTAAAAAAGCAGCCAGAGGGGAAAATATGATTTTCAAACAGTGACTCCCATGCAGACCTCTTGATGGAAGCCAGAAAGTGATGAATGACATTTTCAAAGCACCAATATGTAAAACCTGCCAAGCTACAGTTCTCTACCCAGCAAAAATGTGCTGAAGATGAAATAAAGATGTTTCCAGACAAACAAAAAGAAACAAGAAGCAAACCCAGTCGAAGGGACCATCTAAAACGTTCACTCAGACTGAGGGAAAGGAATTCCACGTGGGGTCCCAAGTCGCCGGAAGGAATGGGCCTGAGAGGGAAAGGGGGGGATCTGTGGGTATGTTTGAATATGTCTTTATTCATGTCTTGAATAAAAAATAATGATGTCGTATAGGTTTTTGAAAACTGTAGACATAAAACACATTAAAAACAGCAACCTCATCCCATTCTGGCTCTCCCTCCACCGCCCACCGCCCACCAGCTCTCTCACAGTCGGGACTGTGGGGACCATCATGTTCACCCCCAGGAGGTAGCTTGTCCCAGAGATGGGGCAGTGAGGCCTTCCCCTGGTCCCTCACTGTGCTAGGCACCATTTTGGGTAGAAACCTGGGCCTCCTCACAGCTCCCGGCCCCGTGGGGCTTAAGGGGCCTGTATTACACAAGACGAAACAAGGCACCAGGAAGGATAAGAGGCCTCACAAGTTCAGACACCAGTTAGTGGGCAGCCTGGGTGCAGAGCAATGGCTCTCAGAACCCATGACCTTAACCATCACCCCAGACGGACAGCATCAGAGGACGCAGGGCTGGAAGGCACCCTGAGCATGAGTTAGTCCAGGGTCCTCCATTCCTAATGTCAGTCCCCGTGCCCCCTTTTTATCACAAATGCTTCCTGATGCCTCAGTCAGGATTCTAAAACGAACTCCATATACGAGTGTGCTATAATTTACCTGCACACTTGCTTTTTATTTTTTTAATATATTTTTATTGATTTCAGAGAGGGAAAGATAGAAACAATCAATGATGAGAGTATCATTGATCAGCTGCCTCCTGTACGCCCCACACTGGGGATCAAGCCTGCAACCTGGGCATGTGCCCTGATTGGGAATCGAACCATGACCTTCTGGTTCATAGGTCAACACTCAACCACTGAGCCACACTGGCTGGGCTGCACACATACTTTTAAAATAATCAGCACCCCCCTCTAACTCTAACATACAGGTGAAGAGAGAAAGATATCATGTAACAAGTGTGCATTTTGCTGTAAATGCTCAGGTGCAATGGAACAGAGGACACAGCCCAGTGGGCACATCGGGGAGAATCAGAAAGGCACCCAAATGAGTAAAAGAGTCCTTACTGAGTGCCCCAGGCTCACGCTTTCTGCGCTGCCTCTGCTCTCATTCACTGCCTTTGAGGCAGCACCTGTAGGTTGCAAAACACTGTACCACAAGTGACTCTTGTCCAGAGAAAGGCAGAATGTCTGTGTCTGATGCAGTACAATCAGTCGGTCACCTGCCTGCCACGCCGACCGGGTTGCACCCGTCTGTGTATTCGCCTCCTCATCCCTCACCCGTGGGGGGTAAGTGTGTGTGTGGATATACAGTCACTTTGAATTCCCAGTTTCCTCACTGACTGATGAGTTAAACAGAAGTCCCCGGCGCTGCCTCACCTCCATCTGTCCGTTCTCCGCGGCGTCATGCAGGGGGGTCCCACCCCAGGAGTCTCTCATGATGGGGGCGCCCAGCAGCAGCAGCCGGTCGAGGATGGGTGTGTGGCCGCCTCGAGCTGCAAAGTGGAGGGCTGTGGCCCCCTCGTTGTCCCGTGCGGTCAGGCCGATGTCAGTGAAGGTGACCTGGAGAAAGGGGGAGAGGGGCCAGTGAGGCTGGATGGGGTGACCACTCCTGGGGGTGGCCACCAGGAGGAGGACATGGAGCCCTGGGAGGTGACCTTGGGGGCCGGGGCACCACTCCCCAGGAAGCCCTGGGACAGAGCTAGCTCCTCACACTCAGCCTGTCATCATCCCAGAGCCTGGCACCTCCAGAACAGTGTTTTGGGGGTGAGATCTGGTTTTACTGGGAGCCTGCAGTCCCCAAATCCGCCCCAGCCCAAATCTTAAGCAGAACACCTCCAGGGCGGGTTTCACACATCCAATGAGCAAAACGCCTCGAGGGCACCTGGGAGACCCAAACAGATGTCTACAGCCTCTGGCACTGGGCTCATTTGGGCCCTGAGCTCCCCCAGCACAGATGTAGACGTGGGACATTGGGCAGCGGGTCCTGCCAGCCTCTCAGAGCGCGAGACTCGGACCTGGTCATCCTGTGGCTTGGGCCCTGTCCTGCTGGCAACCACCTCTGTGAGGGCACCAGTAATCTCTGGTCCAGAGCACTCAGCTGCCGTGGGGGGATGCGAGGGGCAGACCCTGGGGTGCCCACCCACTTCTACGGGCACACTGAACTGTGGCCTCGGGACAGGATGGCCTAGTCTGCCAACAAGACGTTAGGGCCTCTTCCAGGAACACCCTGCCTTCCTGAAGGAAGAGGCTGGTGGATGTGGGTGCCCCCTTTACTCCCTCTTCCTGCCTTGAATACGGCCAACTTTCACCCCGAGGGAAAGGCCAGGGGACAGCAGAGACGAGCCCACGGGGTTGATCCACTGTCACCGGCCTCCTGCTCCTTCTGTGGGAGGGACGGGCTTTGGTTGTTCGGTCCACGCATCACCTGCAGCCCAAAGCACTGCTGGCTCATCCCACCCTCAGCCATGTCTGTGAGGGACACAGGCCTCCCACCAGCCAGCACCCCAAGGGCAAGGGTGCCCACTCTGGGGCCGGTGGGCCAGGCTGGATGGAGGCTGCCCTCCCCCCTGGCCATCCTACAGGGAGGGGGGCAGGGAGTCCATCTGGAAAGGCCTTTCTGGGCCGGGGCCCCATGGCCCCAGCTGCTCCCTCCCTGGGGTGAGCCTCTGAGGGACTCTAGGGGGCTCAGAGGTCCCTCTTCCCTCCTGCCCACTTGTCCTGGGCACCACACGGCCTGCTGGCTCACTTCATATGCGAAGCACCTGCTATGCGTGGCCCTGCTGCCAGAGATGGCCAGGACCCACCCCGGGCCCAGGATCCTCCAGGTGAGGGGAGGCCGAGGTCTGAAATGGATGGGCTCACACCTACAGGGAGGGGATGTGAGGACAACGCCCCAGACTGTCAGGGGGGTGACAACTGGAGAGCCTCAGGATTTTCTCCGGGGCAGGGCCCACTTGGCAGGAGGACCCCTGGCGGAGACCTGGCCTGTGCCAAGGTGAGGCCCTGTGAGTGCCTGGGGGGAGGGGCAGGAGGTGCTGGAAAAGGGAGGCTGGAGGTGACCGCTGGCGGCCTCTGAGGCCCAGGTGAGCAGCGGGACTTCATCCTCACTAAACATCTCCAGAGCCCTGACTGCATGCCAGGCCCTGAGACGCAGCAGCCGGACAGACTCCCTGCCTCCCAGGGTGGGGACAGACAACCACCAAGATAAAGAAGTCAGAATTAGTGTGTCGGGTGTTGGTGCCATGGAGGAAAGACGGCAGGAGAGCAGAGGGCTGGGCACAGGGTGGCTGCCATCCTAGCCAGGTGGGCAGGCAGGCGGTGGAGGGGCCCTGGGGAGCTGCCTGCCAGGCAGAGGGGGAGTGAGGCTGGCTTGCTGGAAGGGCTGGGGAGGAGGTCCCTGGGGAGGGGGGAAGGGCTGCTGAGCTGTGCACTCGAGGCTGCATCCCGGGCCCTGCCTGAGCCTACTGCCCACGCTGCTGGGAGCGATGGGTGGGCACAGCCCATCCCCAGCAACCCTGTGGGTCCCCAGTTCTGAGATGGGCAGACAGATCCGGGGGGTGGGCCCCCCACCGCAGCCAGGCCCTGCTTGCTGGGAGGGACTCTGGGGAGTAGGCAGGAGCTGGGGCTAGCCTTCCGGGGACTCCCCTGTCCCCACCCGGTCCCCCTTACCAGCCAGACGACTAGAGAGTAGTGTCCGCGGGCGGCGGCAGCATGCAGCGCGCTCATGCCGTCCAGGGCGCGCAGATGCACGTCGGCGCCGCAGTCCTTCACCAGGAACTGGGCCAGGTGCAGGTGGCCCTCCTGGCAGGCCAGGTACAGCGGGGAGGCGCCGCTGCGTGTCCGCCGGTTCACGCTGCTGTGGGGGAGGTCGAGGTTCAGAGGGCGCTTGGCCAGGGGTCACAGGGGTGGGGGTGGGGACGGATCCAGCTGAGGACCCAGATCGCGGGGAGGGGAGGTCCGGCACTGGCCAGCTCCAGCTCCCTGACCCGCTGAGGGGTCGCAGCCAGTCACCTGTAGGCTTGCACAGGTTTCCCACCACCCAAGGGAACCGGCTGAGGCCGGGGAAGTGGGGATGAGGGCTCTGGCTGCTGGAATCCAGCTCCGCCCACTCCCCATCAAGCTGTGCGCCTCTGGGGTTGGCCAGCAGGGGGCGCCTCAGGGTGACTAGCCCAGGGACCTGCAGTGGGCAGGTCAGTGAACTCAGAGCTGAGCCTACCCTGTAAAAGGGGACATTGTGAGCCGGACACTAGACATCCATCCCATCCATGGGCACTCGGGCCTGGCTTTTGGGGCCGGTGTGAATGGACTGGAGCAGGTTCTGGGATTTCCCAAATCCCCTCTGCCTCCACCTGCTGCAGGGCCAGTGACTCGCTGCAGAGAGGGGCCACCCCCTACCCAAGGCTGACCCCTACCCCCTGGTGACACACACTTCACCTCTGGCTCCTGCAGAGGTGCCAAGTGGGATGTTGGCCTCTAAGGGCAAGGTCCTTCCCATTTGTGTGTGTGTGTGCACGTGTGCGTGTGTATGTGCAAGTGCATGTGTGCGTATGTGTGTATGTGCATATGTGTGTGCGTATGTTTTAATGTGAAGTCTCCCAGTTTTCAAATGGCAGAAACTACTTTAAAAACTGTGGGTCTAAGAGACTCCGTGGCCAGCGTGGACACTCTGGGGAAGATCCGCAAGGCAAGTCCCAAAGGCCTTCACCAAAGGGTGGGAATGGGGGGGAGGGGCAGGAATAAGAACGCTGTTCACTGCTGAGATGCAAGGTCTTGGGAACACATGTGGGGCCGTGGGGACAGCCGGGCTTGCCCACCCCTGTGTCCTGTCCCTGTGTGCCTGCCCACCAGCTGTTCTCTGCCCCTGGGTGCAGCCTCCCCAGGGGCCAGGCCCCCAGACTGCCGACAGGAGGCGCTCCAGCCCCTCACCTGCGGTGGGCAGCCGCCAGGAGCTTCAGGCAGGTCAGGTCCCCGCTGACAGCGGCGTGGTGCAGCGGCAGGGCCCCCTCCAGCGTCTCCAGCGTGGCTGCGTGGCCCTCTCGGAGCAGCCACTCCACCAGCACCGGGTGGGCGAAGCGGGCAGCCAGGTGTAGCGGGGAGACACCCGAGTCATCTTGGTCCTACCGGGGCACAGGCAGGGTGGGGAATGGGTGGCAGGTCTGGACTCACCCCGCTGGGCAGAACCCGTGGCCAGAGCCAGCCTGGAGTCCACCCTGCCAGGGACCCCGCCTGCTGGAAGTTTCTGCTCCCTCCTCTCCCCCCTGCTCCCTCCAAGGCCAGGGAGGCCCTTTCTTCTAAGTGAGGCGACCTGCTCAGGGTTAGAGGCCGGGCCAGGGCTCAAGTCCAGGTCTGGGTCACAATCTGTGACCCTGCCAATGCACAGTCAGAGCACAGCCATGCCCCTTCCCAATCTCTGCGAGCGGTCATGGCGGCCTCCTGACCTCGCCCCCACCCCACCCCACTGAGTGCCCACCCCCAGCACAGGCCCTGGCCGGGAGCATTTCCACTGCGGGAGCCGCAGCCCCGGGCCTTCTCCCAGGCACAGCACGGACAGGCAGCACTCCCGCCGCTGCCCCTGGTGGTGGTGACTGGGCAGCCTCAGGCTGTGACCAGTGAGTCTTCCCTCTCCTGGGACCCAGCGGGTCCCTGTTGCCCACTCGGCTCTGTCGGAGCTTTCTCACAGTCTCTCCTCACGAAGGGGTATCGGACAGGCAGGAACAGGGCAAGGACGGGCCCTGGGAGAAATTCCCCCACAAGCTCGTCCTTGAACCGTGGAGACGTCTCTCTAGCATCAGGGCCTCAGTCTCGCTCAGGGCTCCAGCTCCTGAGCCCAAGTGCCCACTGCGCGTGCCTGTGGGCCCTTTCTAGATCCCGAGAGACAGGCCCCCGGGACCAGGCCTGATGAGAACTGGCGGGACCCCCACCGGCAAGGCCAGGCGCTCCTGTGCGGGGAGGTGGGGGCGATGGGGAGACGAGGTGGTTTAGGAGGTGGCCTTGGCTTGCAAGGGCTTTGTGTTGCTGAGGGGGGGGGGGGGAGGGCAGAGACACTGCACAGACTGAGCTGTGAGTCCCTAAGAGAAAGAGCCCAGGGCAGAGGACCTTCTAGCTCACAGCTCACTCCTCCCTCTGTTCACAGGGACACTGCCTTCCGGGTTTGCCCTCTGCTCACCTGCAGACCGCAGCCCCCTTCACGCACCAGCCAGCACAGCTCCGCCAGGCTGCCGGTGGCAGCTGCGTCGTGTACCGGGGTGGCCCCGTTGTGGGCCCGCTGGTTGCCGGGCAGTTTGGCCCGCTGCACCAGGAACTTGACACAGGCCAGGTGGCCGGCCCGGGTGGCGTGGTGCACCAGGCCAGCCCCCAGGGCGTCGACGATGCCTGGGCCCAGGGCGCCAGCCTCCAGCAGCTGCTCCAAGGTGGCCAGGTCCCCGTCCTTGGCGGCCACGAGCGCCCGCTGCTCCTCCATCCTCCTGCCCAGCCACCCGCAGGCTCTCAGGGCTCACGCACAGGCCCGGGCTTCCTGTTTCAGGCGTGGACGCAGCTCCCAGCTCTGGTTACCCGATAAGCAGCCCACAGGGCAGATGGGAGGCGGCAGGGTGCAAGTTGGGGGGGGCAGGCCTTGGGGATTGGGCCACAAGCCCTGCCTGAGCCACTCCCGCTGTGCTGAGTCGTGGTGGGGAGAGGGCACAGGGTACAGGGGAAGGGCTCACACCGTGTTGAGATCAGGGGCTGGGCACCGGCCAGTGGACACTGCCCCTCGCTGGGCCATGCCTCTTCCTCCCGTGGGGCGAGGGCCGAGGATATGTCTCAGCCTGGGATGAACTTCCCACATCAGCCGCAGCTTAGTTGCAAGATCCTCTGAAGAAAGCAGCAGGCCCCCAGCGCCTGCTCCCCCAGCCCGGGCAGCAGCCCTGAGCCCGTGCTGGCCTGAGAAAGCCACTTGGGAGATTTGTCACGGGAGGGCAGACCCATCCACAATGGGGCCGTTTCGGGGAACTTACCACCAGGAGTGTTGGGGTCTAAATCGTCATACAAGGAGTCTCCCCACCTGGAAACCTATGCTGGGTCCTGGCCCTCAGCGACTGCGCAGGGCCAGCCTTGGGCACAGGGTGGACACTGGACAGGAAGACTCCAAGGGAGACCGAGGGTTTGGAGGCCCCGCCTCAGCCCTCCCACCCACCAGTGACCGAGTCTGAGGGGCTGCAGCTACCGGTCTCAGGTGCATATTTCAGAGCCACAAGGTGCACTTCCCAGACCTGGAGCTGGGCACCCACAGCCTCCCTGGAGGGGGACACTGCACATCAGGCACCTGCCTTCCCAGGGCTTCCAGGACAGTCTCAGGTGATTGTTATTTTTTTTAAATTGATTCCAGAGAATAAGGGAGAGGGAGAGATAGAAACACCCATGATGAGAATCATTGATCGACTGCGTCCTGCATGCCCCACCCTGGAGATGGAGCCCGCAACCAGGGCATGTGCCCTGACTGGGAATCAAACTGACCTCCTGGTTCATAGGTCAACACTCAACCACTGAGCCACGCCAGCCAGACTCAAGGTGAATGTCTTAAGCTGCAGGGGGACGACTCAGTGATGAGCTGGGGTTTCCGTATAAGCAGCTCATACTCTGGATCCCCAAGAGAAGTGTCCACTGGGAATACGCCCAATACACGCACTGGAATGTTTTATTAGTTTATTTAACCCGACAATTGTATCCTCAATGTCATCGTGTAGTTCTTTGTGCCTTAAAACCGCACATTAAAAGTGTGAATTAAAAAGTCGTTCCTATGTAAAGTCTGTGTGGACATGACATTTGAAGTGTACCAGAATCCCACAGAGCATTTGGGGGGACAGAAGAACTCTTCTGCAGGTAAAATCAGGTGAAAGCTGAGCGAGGGAGGAGCTGGTTTCCACCTTGGGAACAACCTAGTCACATGGGCCTGGCCACCCCCAACTCAGTGCCCTGTGAGCTGAGACCCTGAGTAAGCGATCTGAGGGGAAAGACAGGAGGGCCCTGAGGACTCTGGGTGGGGAGGCCTGAGTCCTGAGTGACGGGCAGGGCTGGGGATGGGGGGACCTGGGCCTGGCTGTCTGGAAAGGGCTGCAAACACATACAGGGTGGCTGTGATTGCAGCAAAGACCAGGCTTCCTTTCCTATTTTCATGATAACAACAATCCTATATAATAAAACCCTAATATGCAAATCGACTGAATGGCGAAAGGACTGGTCGCTATGATGTGCACTGATCACCAGGGGGCAGATGCTCAACGCAGGAGCTGCGCCCTGGTGGTCAGTGCATTCTACATGGGAGCACCGCTTAGCCAGAAGCCAGGCTCACAGCTGGTGAGCACAGCGCGGTGACGGGAGCCTCTCCTGCCTCTGCTGCAGGCGGGTGGTACGGAGCGAGGGGTCCTGGACTGTGAGAAGGCACAGGCCAGGCTGAGGGACTCCCCCCAGTGCACGAAATTTTGTGCACCAGGCCTCTAGTCAATTATAAATACTAGGACTTCATCTTCCTGATAAAAATGCCACCTTCCATGAAGGGGGTGCTCACTTCCTAGGGGGAGTGTGGGCACAGCCAAAGCGTCTCCACTTCAACCCGTGCCACTGGGCAGCAGTGACAGCGATAGGCCCACACAGGTGTGTGTGTCCCGGGCCTGTATGCCTGGGGGACCCGCTCCACACTGACCCACTTAGAGAGGGAGCTGCCGCCCACTCCGTCTCTGCAGGGAAGGTGACCCTGGCACAGGCCTCGGAGGCTTCCTATGAGGTGGCCCCGACACTAGGCCTGGCCCTCCAGCCGGGCCACGGCCTGCTTCAGGTCCTGCACCACGAGGTCCACCTCGGCCCGGGTGGTGCTGCGGCCCACGCTGAGCCGCAGCGCGTTCCTGGCCACGTCAAAGGGGATGCCACAGCTCAGCAGCACCGGGGATGGCCTGCAGGGGCAAGAGAGCAGCATTAGCGTCACAGAGAACGGACAGGGAAGGGCCCGGCCCCTCTGCTCTTGGCCAGCTCCCCACCCCCTCGGCAGACATCCCCTGGCCACCGTCTTCCAGGTCCAGCTCCAAAGCCTCCCTGGTTCTCCAGACCCCTGGCCTCTCGTGCCGGAAAGTCCCGCACGGTCAGTCCTGTGGCTCTCCCAGCACAGAGCCTCAGCCCCCAGTCCTAACATGCAGGGTTTCCAGGGCTCGGAGACACCCAGACAGAGAGACAGGTGCGCAGAGCGTCTTGCATCCACAGTGCTTGAGGCTGTGGCGTACCC